AGATTACAGCAGTTGTTAGAGGAAAAAGAAAAGAAACAAGAGGAATGAGAAAAGAAACAAGAAGAGAGATTACAGCAGTTGTTAGAGGAAAAAGAAAAGAAACAAGAAGAAAGATTACAGCAGTGGCAAGAAAACCTACAACAATGGCAGCTCGAACAGCAAACTAAACAAGAGAGATTACAGCAGTTGTTGGAGGAAAAAGAAAAGAAACAAGAAGAGAGACTACAGCAGCGGCAACTGGAACAAGAAAGGAAACAAGAAGTACAAATGGAAAACATTAGTAAATTTAAAAGCGAATTAGATACATTAAAGGATGATTTATTGTCTTTTACACAAGAAGGATACATTAACCATCGACTTAACCAGCCCCAGACAATGACAAGCCCCTTCCAGACACTGTACCTAAACCCAAATGCAGACATCTTCAGCCCTGTTAGAAGTCACATCCCAGATATGAATGACAGTAATAGGAGTGATCCAGTGCGAAGGAAGCCACAGGAACTCGATGGGAAGGCACTGTGGGAAGCATATAGAGCACAATTTGAACTACTGGCAGAAATGCATGGATGGACAGAGGAGCAGAAAGCAGTATATCTGGCAATGAGCTTGAAAGGACAACCACTGTAAATACTTGGACACTTGTCAGCAGACGACAGGCACAACTATAGAGCACTGGTAGCGGCTCTAGAACTCAGGTATGGAACCCAAAATCAGTCGGAAGTCTACAGGGCTAGGTTTAGGACGAGAGTCCATGCTAAAGGGAAGAGCCTGCAAGAGCTGGCACAGGACTTGGAAAGCATGGCACACAAGGCCATGATATGATAATCATTCACTGATGTGTACATGTCAAATTAAAAATCATTAAAGTTTATAAAAAGATGAAATGCTATAGCCTTGATTAAGCAAAACCAACTATGTAGTTAAAACACCTAATTTAAAATTTTTCCAAATCAATTTGCAAAACTTATCACATCATGAAACACAATTGGACAAGTGAGTAGCTTTCTGACCAGTCTTTATTAGAACCCTTTTTTTCTTTTACAGATTTTTAAGCTATTTTTGAATATCTTTTGATTTTTAGAGTAAATATTATTGTGATATATTATTATTCTCAGAGGTTCTTACTACATGCATAAAAAAATCACTACATTACATGGCTATAGTACAGCCTTGTCAAACATATTAATAAATTAAAGACTGATATGTGGAATGGTTCATAATAAATTAAAACCCAATGCTAAGCCTTACCAAAGAAGTATGAATATATAATACACTGGTTTGCCCAGAAGGATTATTTATTAAAGAATTTTAGTTGTTATATCCACTTTTGTAAGCTGTGAATGTCATATTTGATCTAAACATCAAATATGGTAGATAAATGGTCAATTTTCACACTGAAATGAAAACCAGTATGCTACGAAAGTGCTGATTTATTCCATCAAATCAACAATATCCACCTTTTGCCTTCCAGGCAGAAATTGTGGTCTTACTATTGACCAAGGACAAAATCTGTGAGCAATGTCAATGGAGTACTTACTGTATCTGTTGTTCTAAAATATATATATATATTAAGCATCATGTAATTAACACCATTATTAATCACCAAAACCAATATTTTCTTAGTACTACAATGTAAAAACACAAAAGCACACAAGTCATCAATAAAACTTGTAAAGAATACTCATTACTGAACTAAGTACAATAGTATTTTTGTCAAAAACAATAAAATGTCTCACTAAAGGTGTTGTTTTTTACAATATGGAAGAGAAGATACCATTGGATTGGATATAAATTATTTTTCAAGCATGATGTTGTAGTTTTTTCCTTTATTATGTTTGGTACAGTAAGCAGTTAAAACATCAAAGGTCATTGCAGAATAGATCTGTTAAAGCAGTCGTGAAAATGTGCCTAACCAAAGCAGAATACATTGTGATGGGGCTAATTTGTGACATAAATTGTCTAAAGATATGTGGTGCTCTAAGTTAAAAAAATTGAAAGGAAAGCTGATAAATAGATCCATCTCACTGTTCAATCTACCTGTTATTCTTGACTTTGATGACTGTTTTGGTGAATTTTGCACAAAGTTACTCATGGGCTATGAATGTTAGTTGTCCCTAATTTAAATGTGACAGAGTAGACAGAGAGAGCAACTGGTCAACACCACCTACTGCCAACTCTTAGGCTACTCTAAATGAACAGTGGGATTGACCATGACATTATAATACCCCTAAGTCCGAAAAAGTGAGAATGTTCACTGCCTACTGTTGAGCTACTCTAACTAAACAGTGGAATTGACCATCACATAATAATGCTCCTGAGTTTGAAAAGATGAGAATTTTCGGTAACGTGACACCTAAAAAAAAAAAAAGAAAGAAGAAGAAGAAGAAGCTATGAATAAGACAAGGTCATCCTCTTCTCCAACTTCACTCAAATGGCAGATTACTGATTACAAAAAATAAATAAAAAATCTGACCCTTCTGCTCATGTGTACTCAAATATCCATACAGGAAATAACCTAGCTACCGAGTCAAAAACTACCTAATGTGAATGTTCTGTGAAAATAAAAGAGCAAACTCCCATCAACAATCTAATCAAATTTCATGGGCAATATTGATACTGCTCTTCTAAGAGAACATAAAAGTAATTCATTACATTTTGTAAATGCTAAAGAGTTACAACAATGATGTATACCACAATTATACAGCCAGAAGGATATATCCAGATTTGTTGTTAATAATATTAAAAATCAGGTGTTGCCTAAAAGAGAGGTCAGCAATGTTATCTACTACCTAGGGGATAGAGAGCTCTACAATGGTTCTTGTGATTATCTGTAGAAATATCATGTTCAAGAGAAACCTCGATATCCATCTCTTAAAAGTGGTCTGAAATTTTGAGAATCACACAAGAAGGTAACTTATGATCAAAAGAAAAACAAGATATGGGTAGCTTCCTGTCATATTAACTTCACAACAGAAAAGAATAATAATCAAAGGAATATTATATCCTAAACACAACACTTGGAAAAAATGGCAAGCTTTCACAGATTGTGGTATGTGGCAAAAAGGTCAATAAAAACTATACCTAGACTAAAATTTTTTCATTTCCGATAAGTTACTGTTAAAGTTATATAAAAAAAATTTAATTTTTCTTTGGGTTAATTGTTAATTATATGAGGCAACACTCAATGTTTTATAATAACCCACTATATATTTGCATTAGTTTTTCAGAATTTGCATGTATACATGTATGCTCATCACTTACTATCAAATGTTCTGTAAATTATCTTCATACAAAGTAATAAAAATCTTTGGTTAGAAATATATTTCAAAGTGTTTACAGTGCTATAATATATTTGTATTAGTGAAAACCTGTTCATTTTATTAAAAAAACACACTACAAATCTAACTGTTATGATCATTAATGATAATTACAGTGTTCATTGAACAAGACACCTCTGAAAATACATGTGAACGTACACAGGAATTTTATTTCACAAAAGTAGTTTCCTAGTACGATTTAAAACACAAATATCAATAATTTAAAACAAATGTGTCTTAAATAGTCTTTTATTTCAATTATAAAACTTTAAGTACACTTGGAACTGGATATTGTGGGTTATCAACAGCTCCTTTACCAAATTTCAACTCCAAAAATCCTTTTATATTATTTGGGACTGATGCCATAATTCCAACAAATTGAAGTTTTTCTAGAGGATGAAGGAAGTGTTCTGGAAATTCTCGGTCTTGTGGGTGATTTTTAAACCAAGTATTTTTAGTCATAATACCATTTCGAGAATAAAAAGGAAAGATATCTACATGAAGGTGGTTTGTTTGACTGAACTGCACACGTAAAAAATCTCCTTCCCTTGCTTTTTCCCAGACAAAACCTGATGTATCAACAATTGACTGTTTCTGAGCATTCTTCAGCCACTCACATTTTAAAATATCATCAGCATACACACCAATGTCTACATCATAATCCCAAGGAATAATGTCACCGGAACGAAATGCACCTAAAAGACTACCACCTTCTAACCAGTATTTCACTTCACATTTTTCTAGAATTTGAAAAACATGTCGAGCAGTTTTTCTTAAATTTTCCAAGCAGCAAGGTGGAGTCCAACGTCCTAGAAATAGGTATTCTGGCATGTCATTATGCACTGTTCCGAAACACCGAGATGTCTGTTTTTCACAACCATACCAATGAACTTGGTTTCCAGGAAGAATGACTTTCTTGATGCCAAATTTCTTATACAAATTCATTCTTTTATGTGAGTCAAGCATTCTTTGTTTCTCTCTAAGATGTGCATCTTTGAATAGCAATCTCCCTTCTGATAGCAGATGTTCTGGTGAGATATGTACCTATAACAAGCACAAATTCTTATAAAACACCTAGGAAATGTTTATTAAATATTTTTACAAACACAAAGAAATTAAAAGATTTAATGTATAAATTGAATTTGAAAAATAAAATCTAATGTATATAGTATATATATTCTTTCAGGTACCCAGTTCTTGATGTCAAACTTCACGCAACTGCAGAACTGAGTATAAAATCATGATGCATTTCTACAAACAATGAAACAAGCAAAGAAATTCTAAAGTAAATTTTAATGTTCAACCTGCTAATCTTTCTGACTCTCATCCAACTAAAGCAAATATAACAAAGGCACTAAAGTTTAAATAAGCCACAGTTATATTTTAGAAAAAACATATTCAACTGAACTGTTACTGTAAGAATACACATACATTTTGTAAAAAAATTATTCCATAATAATAATAACTCTCAACAAAGCTCAACATATGCATAATAATTTCTGAACTTAAAAAAATGCACAAAATTTTTTACATTCATTTAATATCACTTTTAAGGGCCTGCTTTTAATGCACTGATCTTGGTTCTAAATGATAATTACTCTACCTAAAACCAAACATGGGTCTACAGTAAGTATCCAAATCTTGTCATTAACTTCTGATCAAAATAAGCTATCTATAATAAAGTTCAGAACTAGAAATTGATCCAGTAATCAATGTAGCTAATTTAATATACCATTCTTACTTGCAATAGTAAGAATGCATTGATGTATCAATAGGGTACTCTCACTGTCAGTAATTTGGTCTGTAATCCTAATATCTTACATACTTCAGCTAGTTTAGGAGATTTATGTTAGCCCAAAGTTAATATACTAAGCTAAATAATCTTCATAATAAAAATGAAATAAATATATATATATTATACAATTGAGCCAAACCTGATAATGAAACTAACATTAAAGAAATAACAGAATATAGCTTAATTAGATAAAAAAAAAAAGACATACAAATGAACTACTTGCTTTTGGTATTGTCACAAATTCCCTTCCTTATTCTTTCATCCCTGATATTCACTACAAACTTTACATGTCAAGAAATAATATATATAAACATATATCATCTATTCAATACATATTTTTAACAGTTTTACATAACTTACACAACAGTGGAGTACCAACTGCACATGACAGTAACTACATTTAACATAATGGTTTGGGACAACATGGGACCTATTGGTCCATTTTGGCTGTTCCATCCTCTAAACAAAACTAAAACTATTTTTAAAAATCTCAAAGCCAGCCCTTATCATTAATATACTTATCAAACTTTCTCTTAAACTCAGTTAAATTTACTGCCTCCACAACATCCCAAGGCAACTCATTCCAAAGGTCAACCACCCTGTTAGAAAAATAAAAATGTCTAAGCTGAAGATGACTCCGACCCTGCCACAATGTATCATTATGTCCCCTGGACCTACTATTCTCACTGTTGAATATGAAAAAAGATGATGCATCAACATTATTAATTCCATTTAAAATCTTAAACACCTCAATCAGATCCACCGTAACTCTTCTTTTTTTTAACAGAAAACAATTTGACAACCCCTTCATCCAAGGCACCATTCTAGTAACCCTTCTCTGAACTCTTTCCAACAATTTAATGTCTTTCCTAAAGTAAGGAACCCAAGATTGAACACAATATTCCAAATGTGGCCTAACCAGTGACCTGTAGAATGAAATTATAACCTCCTTAGACTTGTATTCAATATTTCTGTAACTACAGCCTAAAGTCATATTTGCCCTACCACTAGAAACAGCAAAATGCTTGGATGGCTTTAGAGACTGATCAACTATCACACCAAGATCCCTTTCTTTCATGACACTGTTATGATTATTCCCATCCAAATTATATTTATAATTCAAATTATGATAACCCACATGCACTATCTTGCATTTATTATAATTAAAACCCATCTGCCATTTATTTGCCCAACTCACTAAATGATCTAAATCCTTTTGTAAATCAGCAGCATCCTCTTTACAGCTATTAACACCCAATACCTTAATATCATATGCAAATGTAAGTAATTTATTGACCATTCTTTCATCTATGTCATTGATGTAAATCAAAAAGAGCAAAGGTCCTAAGACTGAGCCCTGAGGTACCCCACTTGCTAACATTAATCCAGTTTGACTGAACTCCATTTGTAACATCCCTTAGCTTTCTTCTATCCAATTTGCCTTTCCCACACACCAATAGAGATAATTATTTTACAAGCCTTTTATGTGGCACCTTGTTAAGTGCTTTCTGAAAATCCAGATACATCAAATCTACACTCTTACCTTCATCTACATAAGGAATATCCCTTTCAAAGAATGTCTAAAGATTTGTAAGGCAAGGTTTTCCCTTTATGAAACCATGTTGAGTATCCAATTACATTCTAAACTTTGTTAAATGACTTTGCAAAGCATCTTTTATTAGACTTTCCAAAATTATTTCCACAAATAATGTAAGAGTAATAGGTCTATAATTACTGGGACAACTTTTATCACTTCCCTTGAAAAGAGGAGTTACATTAGCTAACTTACAATCCTCTGGTAACTCTCCACTATTCAAGGACTGACAAAAAATAGTAGTAAGTGGCTCACATCTTTAACCTCCTTAAAAACCCTTGGGGAAATCTGGCTCAGGAGCTTTATTGTTCTTTAAACTTCCCAATTTTTCTTAACCAGCTCAGAATTAATAATGCAATCATCTTGTTCAATTTTGTTTCCATCTATCAATGGTTCAAGATGTGGAATACTGCTTAAATCTTCATTAGTAAAAAGCAAAGTCTAATAACCTAGCCATCACATAAATATCAGATATGAGCTATCCTTTATCATCCCTCAAGGGTTCTACCCCCATCCTAACATTTTGTTTACACTTAATGTATTTAAAGAAATCCTTACTGTTAATTTTTACATGTTCAGTCAACCTTTTTTTCATACATCCTTTTTGATGTCCTAATTTCCTGTCTCACCAACTTTTTTGATCTTATATAATCTTCTAAATCTCTTGTCATACCAGTCAATCTAAATTTCTTAAATTTATGATGCTTTTCTTCAATTTTATCTCGTATACTCTTTGTGAGCCAACCTGGTTGTTTTACTTTTCTTTCAATAAAGAATATTAAAGTGCTAACTCACCTTCTAGCTAGAGCATGTTGAATTTCAGTATGCTTGTACTATGAGACTGACACAAGCTTCCCCTAACAGTGATGTACAGATAGTAATGTTGTAAAAGATTATGTAAGTTATGGTAATAGCTACTTATATGAGGTGTAACCTCATAGTCTAAATAAAAAAAAAAAACCTTTTTTATCGTAAATAAGTTAGTTCACAAGATATAGAACGAATTATTGCTAACTGTTGCTCAATATTGTCATTGATCTTGAGAAGTTTTTTCTTTCTTTCAGAATTAGGTTTTTTCTTCTGGTTCTTTTTCTAATTCCTTTATTTATTGAAATTAATGACATTGAGATTTATGTTGTTTATTAATGTTTGTATCACGTCCTGACCAGGCATGGGTTTACAAACTGTTTTTTTTTTTTTTGTGATAAAATTTGTATTCTAGTTGTTTGAAAGCTTTATTTTGGATTTCTGTTGTTGCCACATTTTAATAAATTATTTTTTGTTCTGCCCTGTTTGTAGTGGTATTTTGTTTTAATCCATTTCACCCCTTTATTTCGTATGTCAGATATATAAATACTGAGGCAAACATAACATTAGCATGCTTCCTGTGTATGGTGTTAACCTTTTAATCATAATTTACCAATATCAACTTTATTTATTTATTTCATGCCCAGCAATAGTTCCTACTAAAACTTTGAACAATTATTAGGAATACAACTACTGTAGCATATAATCAACAAAAAGAAAGTCACATATAACTTTAAGTACAATGATAGATATACAAACAAAGAACTTAAAGTGAGTAAACTCCTTTAAAAAATAGAACTTTTCAGTATGCAAAACAATTCTATGACCCAACAAAAAATATGAAAATTAAAGGGGTTAGTTAAAACAATAAAATAAATGTAAAGAAAAAAAGGGTGCAGAATTCTTAAAAATGTTTAAGTACCTAAGGACAATCATCTAATATTTAGACACTAGTTTATGATTAAAAATTAGCTTGCTAATACCAAGGAGCATTCTCTTTTTCAGTTCAATGAGTGCAACATCCCAACCCACCCAAATCAACATGGTCCTTGAAATCATACACCTATTCAACAATGATTACAAACAAATTTAAGTTAATGATACAGAATAAAACATCAGGCAAAAAAATTCCACAAGTTCATAACTCAATTAAGTAGTCTGGGTCTGGGCTTTCAAAGCTGTTGCATATCCCCTAATGTTTACACTTCCATCCTGAAATTCCCACCACTCTAAGAAAAATCCTTATCCATTTGATTCAAGTCCCTAACAAATTTTAATACATGCTTCAATTTAAATGTAGCTTTTCTATTCTGTGAGAAAAAAGTCAATGTCTATACTCCATTCTTTATAACTTAAATTTTCTTACTTTAGTTAGAAGTAAATTTTAAATCAAGCCATACCAGTTGCTTATTATTCATTATTATTATTATTCATATTATTCTCATTCATAAACCATACTTAGACACTAAGCAAGCAGCTATTTGAGTTTTATTAAAACTCACATCACAAACAAGAAGTAATTTCTAAATCATCATACCCAAAGTGTACAACTTTATCTTCTCAGCTTTTTAATATAATGATCATCTTTTTCTAGTTCTCCAATGTTATTGTAAAAGTTTTAAATATTCCAAACTAACAAATGTTACCTAATCTGACAAAAGATGAAAAACACAAGTCTCGCATAAACTTCTCAGAAAACCTAAAAATAACATTCCCCACCACTCCCTATAAGCATCTAACTTTATGTAGCACTTTCTCAAAAATGGTTTAAAAATATAATTGGACTGCACTCATTCAGCTGGAAGCTTTAATGAATAACTGCAACAAGTTGGTAAGGCAAGAAAATGT